AGTGTTTTGTTCTGTTGTGCATAGTGTTGCTATGATTTGGTACCTACTTGATGGCACCTAAAAACAACAACAAGCCCCCATCTACCTTTGCTTGAAATTGACATCTATGATTGAATCTAGAAGAGTTCCTACAAACTTGACAGAATTGAAAGATTTCTAGAAACAAAACCAATAAGTAGCTGAACAATTAGCTATGCGCTTAAATAATAGACTAAAAAATCCCAGTTACAAGACCACCTTTAATTTCTTTGCATATAAATCAAATTTGAATATTAAACAAAATAGGATGCTACAGTGAAAGGCATTGAGAATGGACTTTCTTTATCTCTTTCAAACACTCACTGTTAAAGTGTGTAAATTATGAATAATCATATATTCATGCTTTTTGAAATACTTTTAAGAAAATTTAGAATAAAGAGATAAATTACTACCAACTGTAGTAAATTACTTATTTGTAAGAAAATTATATGATTCTTGTTTTAAAGGATCACCACTATTAGTTAAATTTCAAGTATTTTTTTTTTTTTTAAGTTTTTTGGATTTTACACAAAACTGTCAACTTGGAAATGATGTCAAAATAATATAAACTAATTATTAACATGACCATTACTTTAGATAATGGGGCGCTAATCTCATAAATGATATCTGTGTTGGAAGGTAACTACTAACATGGCCATTGTATATATTGGACAACTAAAGTATTACATAAGATGGGAAAAGCAAACAGTTTTCCTACAGAAAAATATATAAATTGATCCTTTTAATATATTATACATCTGATTTTCAGGGCAGGCACATCAACTAGAAAAATACAACAGTAATGTGGGATTAGTAAATCGCTTTCTTAATGATCACTAAGCTGAATAGTACTATCATTTTTGGTTAATGTGAAACATGTATAACTAAATGTTTTAAGTATATGAAATCAAGGCTGTTTGATAATAGCAGTTTTCAAACTTTTTAAAAAGCTACCAAAATGTTTATATCATACACAAGATGTTACTTTTACTAATATGACTTCAGACTTACAGTTTTACAATAAAATCAAGCTGTTTTGTTTACTGAAAACAACTATTTATTTGCAGTAATTACGATAGATTTAAAAAATATATATCTAAAGCTCTTATTTAGAATAATTTCTATTACATTCTGAGGCAACAGGAAGGATCTTAACTTTCCTAACACAGGGTTTTTTAACAGTTGTGTAAGATGATCTTCATCACTTATAATATTCAAGAACTTTAAACATTTCAACAGTGTTTTATAAATAATATGGATAGATTCTGATGCTAGATGAAGGCTAAGAAAGAGTATAATATGGGCATATGCCCATAAAGTACAAGGGGAGTTCAAAATGTTCATGGAAAAATGGAATTATAAGATAATGAAATTTTTCTACAAACAATTTGAAGCCCCTTGTATCTCCTTCAATGGTCTACTTACAGATAGCAGCAGTAAGATTAACAGAATTTTCTTGGTTATTCTGGCCCTACCCATAGACTGTTTACATATAATATGCATGCTGTATTCAAGAGAGCTTAATTTTAAGATTGTAACAAAACTCTACTCTAAGATTGTAACAAAAAACCAATTATCTTAATAGATACAACTTATTGCACGTGTATTCAGACTCAATACTTTCATATAGTGGATCCCTTTATATTATTAGGAATGAGGTGGAGGACCAATACCTTGGTGCTCTTCTAGGCATGTGGTAGTGGGTTTTAGGAAAGAGGATGTGACTTAATGAAGATCTGAATCCATCAAACAAAGAAAATTATAATGATATTCAACTGTCCCTTATTTATATAACATTATAAAAGGTGAAGAGAAGAGGGGACTAAAAGGATGGGGGAAGAGGCTATATGTTGGGAGGTGGGGTAAGAGCAACCTGAAGGGCTGGGAAATTTTACAGTTCTCCTGGATTTAGCAGTACTACAAGGGTTGGAAAGGTGAGGAAATGGTTCTTCCCATTTCTCATGAACTTCCTTTAAAATCTCCCCTGAACCCTGGAGAGGTCAGGTACCAGCTGCCACTTTAGTGTGTTGAGTAAGAACTATGGGTTTTCCACTTTAACCATGGCTTTTTGATGGGCAGTAATAGGCCAAATTGCATTAAAAACAAAACAAAATAAAACTCTGAGTTCTTTTTACTAAAAATTTCAAGTCCAAACTGCTCACACAGATTTTGGCATTTAGAAAATTTGTAATATAGCACTGCCATTCTAACTAGATTTGCTGCCTGTGCACAGCCCTAACATCTTTATGTTAATTACATGTTATTGTTGTTAAGTGCTCTAGAGTCTGTTCTGGCTCATAGCGACCCTGTTTAGGGTTTCTGGGCATCCTGGTGTTGCTGCTGAGTTGGAATCGACTCGATGACGCTTAACAACAACAATAGAGTTTCTGAGGCTGTAAATCTTTGTGGGAGCAGAAAATCTCATCTTTCTCCTGTAGAGAAGCTGATGGATTTGAACTACAGACCTTATGGTTCACAGTATAGTATGTACCCTCGAACCATTGCACTCTTGTATTCCTATTGTTGTTGTTGTTGTGTGCTGTCGAGTTGGTTCTGACTCACAGCAACACTGTAATAGGGCTTCCAAAAGCAGCTGTAAGTTTGAACTGCCAACCTTTCGGTTAGCAGTCGAGTGCTTATCCTACAATGCCACACCAATTACAGGTTTGTACATCTGTATTAGGGTTTAAGAACTGTCAAACTCTGTTCAGAGTCTGGTAGTTTCAAGTTTAGTAACCAGTAAAGGAAGATGAAGAATTTTAAATGTTTTTTCTTAAAGAGATTTCAAAACCACAATTCCATGTGTTACTATGTTCACTGGTCTACTGTTGTTAAGTGCCGTGAAGTTGGTTCTGACTCATAGTGATGCTGAATAGAGTTTCTGAGGATAAGCTGGTGAGTTTGAACCACTAACTTTGTGGTTCAAACTGACCTTGAGGTCTACTGCTTATCCTACAGTGCCACACCAGAATTCCTTTGTTTTCAATCTTGTTGTTGTTAAGTGTCGTCAAGTCGGTTCCGACCTAGAGCGACCCTGTGTAGGGTTTCCGAGGAGCAGCTGGTGGGTTTGAATCTCTGACCTTCTGGTTCAAACAGACCTTGCAGTCTAGCACATTATTCTGAACACTACACCAGGACTCCCAGAACTCCTTTACTGCCTGTAAAAGTATAAAATACTAACTTAAGAAACATATTTTCATTTGAAAAGCTTAATGATCATTTTTGTTACGGAATTTACACGATGGCCTGTTTCATTAAAGAGTTACGAGAAAATATTTGCTACATGAGATATTTGATATTCATCCCTAAGTCAATGGAAGAATTCCAAACAATTTTTTCTTACGGAAAAAAACATTCTAAGTATGGCACTACATTTAATTTTTTAATCATTCTGAACATTAGGTAAAGTATTACTATTTCACTTTTACATATGGAGAAACTGAGGCTCAAGAGTTAAAACGATTTGGTTAATATCAGTAGCACAGCCAGGACTAAACTAGGTCCACAGACTATTAGGCTGATAGTGCTCCAGCTACTTGACTAAACAGAATGTCAAAATATCAGTGTTGTTGTTAAGTGCCGTTGAGTCAATTCTGACCCATAGAGACCCTGTAGAGGGTTTCTGAGGAGCACCTGGTGAGTTTGAACCGCTGACCTTGCAGTTCAAATGGCTTTGCAGTCTGGCACCTTAACCCACAGCGCCACACCAGGACTCCAAAATATCAATAAGCCTATCCAAATCTTTCCTTACATTCTTTCATTACTTCATTATTGAACTGTCTTAGTGAATAAATGATTTCAAATACAAATATCACTGTTGTTGTTAAGTGTGGTGCAGTTGGTTCCAATTCATAGAGGCCCTATGAGGATTCCAAGGAGCGGCTGGCGGGTTTGAAATGCCAACCTTGTGGTTAGCAGCCAAGTACTTATCCAACAGCACCATGCCAGGACTCCAAATATAACTACTAATATTAAAATAAAACCCCCAAAATACTGCTGGGGAGTGGAATGAAGGTTTATGTGTAAAAACCTTAATATATATATTTCCAATGGTTTTCAAGACAGACAATGAATCTCTGGTTTCAAATACATGCTCCTTCCTAAACCATATTTTAGTTTTTATCAACTGCATTTATGCATGCTGCTATCATTTATGTCATATCATGATGGCCATACCTGTTATGGATTGAATTATGTCTCCCCAAAATGTATTGTAAGTCTTAACCTCTAAAGCTCTGTTATAAACCACTATGATAATGTGTTTTGTTTGCTATGCTAATGACAATACAGTGTAGGGTGTGCCTTTAGTCAATCTGTTTTGAAATATAAAAGAAACAAAAGCAAGTAAGAAAGCAGAAATAAGGAAAGATGTATACCATACCACATGAAGATCATCTAAGAGTGAAAGCATATAAATTGAAGAGAAAAGGAACATTCTTCAGAGCCCACAGAAAGAAAAAGCCTATCCCTAAAGCTGATGCCCAGATTTTGGGCTGGTAGTCTAAATTTCTGTTTGATAAAGTCACTCACTTGTGGTATTTGTTATATCAGCACTAAATAACTAAGGCAATACTCAAAACAGAAAACAATTCTAAAAATTAATGAAAGTATGTGAACCAATTCTCAAGATGTGACTTTAAAAAATTATCTAAAGTAGTAAACAAAACTTGTCCTAAAACAGAATTATTAGGATCACTTCCAAACATCATAGCTATCCTCCTAGTAGTCAACACATGTATAATTTTCACATGTTAATCCCAAAGGTTTTTAAACTTAAAGCAGTCAAGTCAATGCGCTTTACATGTGTTTTTTGTTCCTGGAATGACATCTTTAAGAAAAGTCCCCCTCTGGATTCCTATGACGTGTCTCTCTTCATAATTCTGCATATCAACTGGCTTCTGCTTTTCTAAAAATTTTCTTATCAGTTCCTTCCATCAAGAAGACTCTGTGGTCAAAAGAAATTTCTAAAGTGGGATATATCATTATTCAGAGGGCTCCACTGGGCTTCTTAGGTATGGGCTTTCTTTGTGAGTCTCTGAGTTTGTGTGTAGCATAGAATCAGATTCCAAAGCCTCTGGTTGTAAACTATCTCCATCGAGGACAATGTCTTCAGGATTTGGTGGTGGTGGACAGAAGTCTTCACTGGGGCAGATTTGCTGGAAAAGTGCTTCAGCCTTGCCAGGGAAAAAAAGACACACAGATTTTTGGGACATTAACATATATGTGCATTTCTGGCATTGTTAAGAAAAAAAAATCACTACCCTTAATTATTTTTTAAACCAATGTACATAAAATTTATATTTTTAGAAGAATGTAAATATAATTCTTTTAAAGATCTGCTTTAGAGTTCCATAACTTCTGTCCCTACTTTCCCTCCTGGTGTGGTGCTGCAGACAATGGATCACAAGGTCAATATGAACTGCAAGGTCAGTGGTTCAAACACACCAGCTGCTCCTTGGAAATTCTATATGGGGTTGATATGGGTCGGAACCGACTCTATGGCACTTAACAACAATGCTATACAGGCATGTTGGATCCACTATTCAAGAATGTTAGTAATTGGTCAGATTCCTTATCAAGTGATCAGACTGTTAAGAATTTGAGGTCATTCATTCTATATATCAAAAGAAATACAATTTCATTTAATATTCTTTATATAATTTCCCATAAAACTTATTTGTGATGGTCATACCTTTCAAATTTAGCATTTAGCAATTTCAACAAGTCACTGATCAAATCAAGAAACGTCTATTTTTCTTGTATTATTTTCTTTCTCCATCCAAGCTTTAAGGAGTATGTTTTTGTTGTTGTTAAGTGTCGTCGAGTCAGTTCTAATCATAGCAACCCTGTAAAGGATTTCCAAGGAGTGGCAGGTGGATTTGAACTGCCAATCTTACAGTTAGCAGTCCAGCGCTTATCCTACACTGCCACACCAGGACTCTTTTAAGGAGTACGTTGTTGTTGTTAAGTCCCATCAAGTCGGTTCTCACCCATAGCGACCCTGTATAGGGTTTCTGAGGAGCAGCTGGTGAGTTTGAAGTGATGATCTTATGGATCAAACCGACTTTGCTGTCCAGTGTATTAACCCACACCACCACACCAGGACTCCTTAAGGAGTATAGCACAGTGTTTAAGATAGAATAAATTGCTATGTTTGTACTTTTATTTTATAGAGATTTTACTTTATTGTACTGGTAACAAGCAAGGCCTTTAAAGTGGTAAACAGCAAAGATGTCATTTGACAACTAAGATGCATCTAACCTCATATGCATGGGAAAACTGGACAGTGAATAAGGAAAAGCAAAGAAGAATGGATGCCTTTGAATTATGGTCTTGGCAAAGAATATTGAATATATCATGGAAGACGTACAGCCAGAATGGTCCTGAGAAGTGAGGATGGTGAGACTTTGTCTCACGTATTTTGGAGAAGGACATCATGTTTGGAAAAGTAGAGGGTCAGAGAAAAAGAGGAAGACCTTCAGCAAGATCAACTGACATAGGCTCAAACATAGGAAGGACTCAAACATAGGAAGGACTATGAAGATGGCTTAGGATCAGGCAGTGTTTTATCCTGATGTACATAGGGTTGCTATGAATCAGAACTGACTTTAGGGAACCTCACAACAACAATTGGTAACAAGGAGTTATTAAAGGGTTTTAAGATAAATACTTATTTTAAATCATATAATGATTTTCTGTAACATCATACTCTTTTTTCCAATGTACACACAAGGCCATTCATTGGGCCAAGAATTGTCAAACTATGGCCCACATGCCAAATATGGTTTGCTGCTTGTTGTAAATAAAGTTGTATTGAAACACAGTTCCATTTGTTTATGTATTATCTTTGGCTGCTTTTATACTACAAAGGCAGAATTTAGTAATTATCACAGAGACAGTTGGGCTGCAAAACCTAAAATATTTATCACCTGGTCCTCTCCAGTTAGCAGGCTCCTGCACTATGTGATTTAAACTGATGCTCTTTGGGAGTGGTTGGGTTGATGGGTAAGAAAATGAAAATTCTGAGCTTTGATATAGATTTAAAAGAAGGAACAAGGAAAGAAAATAGTTACTTTCTCTATTGGGTATACTTCAAGAATATATTTTTAACCATGTCATTTACTATGGATATTCTGAAAGTAAATATTAGAGATGTCTGCTTGACTCTTTCCACTTCTAGAATTCACCTCAACTCTTAGTTGTAGACACTTAGCCCCTACTGCAATCACCATATCTGGTCAATTTTAACTTATATTTATTGACTCCATCTGTTCCCTCCCTACTGATATAGTCCAGGCATGCATCGTCTTTCCCCTAGACAACTTTTAAAGTATCAGAACTATATGAGAGACTGCTCTAGGATTCCCCACTGTAATCAATTGCTATGCTAGCCTCAAAAGGATCTGTGGAAAAAGAAATTTTGTTATGCCAATTTCTGGCTTAAAACTTTTCAATACTCCATTTTGTCAACAGGATAACATTCAAGATCTCTAACCCCAAACCAAGCCAAACCCATTGCTGTTGAGTTGATTCTGAATCATAACTATCCTGAAGGATAAAGTTGTTGTTGCTAAATGTCACTGAATCAGTTCCGACTCATAGCGACTCAACCTAGGGTTTCTGAGGAGTGGCTGGTGGGTTTAAATCATTGACCTTGAGGTTTAAACCAACCTTGCGGTCCAGTGCATTATCCTGCAGCACCACACCAGAATAGAGTAGAACTGCCCAAAGAGTTTCCAAGGCTGTAAATCTTTATGTAGACAAACTGCCATATGTTTCTCCCGTGGGTTGATTGGTGAGTTCAGACCACTGACCTCTGGGTGAGCAACCCAGTGGTGCACCATTGCAACTTTAGGGCTCCCTCTAAGATCCCTACTATGGTATATGAAATCTGTCATGCCTACTTTATCCCATCTCCACCTCTGAAACATTTTGCTTTTTTAATACCTGTTTATGTGTACTTTTTAAAATATGGGCTGATGCAGATGATATTCTTTACATCTGAATTGTTACTCTACTGTCTTCCATTTGAATGGAGAATTGCTCCTCATCTTTTATATTCTTCTTTGCAAGGCTTCTCTGATTCCCAAATGGAGTTCAATACTCCTGTGTCACCTCTAGACTGTAGATATTATTCTATTATTGTATATGGCACAGCAGTGACATTTGTTGACATGCTTTAATAGACAATGATTTCTCCAGAGTTGACAAGGACTATGCTTTAGTTATCCTTACTGCCTGGCATGAAGTAAACCTTGATGCTTTTTTTTCCTAAATGTAAGATTTTTACAACTGTACTAAGATGACCAGTTTGTGTTGTTGCTGTTCTTAAGTACCGTCTGAGCACTTAATTTGCCGTGTAAACTTTTACGGAAAATACAGTAAAATATTCTTTATGTGTACTGAGATATGATATAAATGTTGGGTATATATATAACTAGTATTATCATAACTACTACTTTTCCTTTTACACCAGTTCCTCTGTGTCTCACATCTTGTCTCCCTCTTGTCATCTTCCCCTAGGAAATGTTTTCCCTGAAGCCAAGGACTTGTGGCTAGATCCCGCTTTCTTTCTGTTTCACCTTGTTATGAACAAACTGCCTGCTAAAACAAACACCAGGAATGGGTGGAAGAAGACCACAGAATTACCACTGATAAGGTACCTATTGAAAGTGGAAATTCACATGGTTCAAAATTTTCAATTTTAAGAGAACATCTTGGCCTCAACAAGCTTTAGGCTCCATGGATGTCTATAATGTGGTCTTTTAAGCAAGACTGAAGCTACTTAAGACAATTTTATGCAATGACTTGTAACCAGGGATGAATCTTGGATTTACCAATACTAGCTAGAGAGAAAGGTCCAATCAAAACAGTGACTTCTGAAGGGATCTGCTTCGCCAGTTAAATTCAAGGCAGAGGTCAGCTCAGAAGGTTATGGTGAATTTTTTGCCATTCCATAGTGGTCATTTTGATGGATTTTCTTGAAGGACACAGAACTTTATCAGAGGATTACCGTGAATATGATTTAAGAAAATTTAAAATGGCATGGCTGAGAATGAGGCCAGGAAAGTTGTGCCAAGGGATTTTCTCCCATCACAACAATGTATCTGCTCATTCTTCAAAGGTAGCAAGAGCTGTCCTTTGGGAATTGTGCTGGGAAACTGTACCCCATCAAGCCTACAGCCCTAATCTTTCTCCTTCACACTTCTTTTTGTTCTCAAACCTCAGAGAACATTGAAAAGAAACATGATTTAAGTCCCTTGAGGATGACAATATTGCCACTTTGACATATTGTAAACCAAAGAGCACATAATTCTTTGCGAAAGGGCTAAAGAGATAAAAACACCACCCTCAGAAGTTTATAGACCTAGATGGAAGATATGTTGAGAAATAATAGCTTCACATTTTGATATTTTTGCTTAATAAAGGTTTGTATGATTTTATTGCACTACTTTTTGACTTGCCCTAGTATTCTATATGCGTGACTAGTTACTTTCTTCTTGAAATTATTCAGGTTTCCAGGGTTAAAAAGTGGGCATTTCAAAATAAGACTCCAGTAAGCCAACAGTTAAAATTGGAAGCAATGCTTCTTTAGAATACTGGTATCACAGAGTTATTTTTATGAATATGTATTTCTAACTTTCCATTCTCATTCTCACAATGGAACTCACATGAATTGTTGTTGTTGTTAAGTGTCACTGAGTTGGTTCTGACTCATAATGACCCTGTATAGGGCTTCTAAGGAGTGGCTGGTAGATCTGAAGCACCAACCTTGTGGTTCAAACTGATCTAGTGGTCGAGTGCTCATGAATACTCTCTTGTAATTCTTCATTATATTCAAGAAAGTAAAAATATCTCATGAGTTGGGCTGCTAATCTCAAGGTCAGCAGTTTGAAACTATCAGCTGTTCTGTGGGACAAAGATGAGGCTTTCTTCTCCCGTAAAGATTTATAGCCTCGGAAACTCTATAAAGGGTCGCTATGAGTTGGAACCGACTCCAAGGCACACCACCACCACCACATTCCAATTATATTTCAAGTAGCTTGGTAGTTCATAAAAAAAGTTTAAGGACAATTTGAAAATATGGTATTAAATAAGAGAGAATGCCTTTCCAGTCTCTTTTCCCACATCTCACAGGAAAAACAATTCACTGTCTCTACCACATCTATGTGAGAGTGCAGTGGCTCTATACTTGCCAGTCACTCCGCAGGAGACAGATGAGGCTTTCTGCTCCATCAAAGACTTAAAGCCTCAGAAACCCTACACAGGGTTGCCATGAATCTGAACTGACTCCACAGCACTTAACAACGACAAAGACGCCTATTTATTACAAATGTAAGAAACCCAATTGCCTTACCTGTTTGACTGCATTATCATTTCCTAGATGACAATCTGGGCCAGAGCAGACATAAACATTGGAAGATAAACCATTATAAGAGTTCCTGCTGATGTTTGAAGAATCTCTCATATTGAAGTAAAGAGCCCACAGAAGTCTTGGCTTATCAACTTCTTCATTTTCTAAATGTAAAACATAATTTGATTCACATCTTAAAGCACAATATGCTTGCCCACTGCTATAGTATGTAACAAAGACATGACTACATATTAGGGTAAATAAGCTTATTTAAATAAAGACTTTTCAACCTCATACAAATTGGATTTCAAAATTTTTATTAGTAAGATTTAATTCTAAATGTGTTCCCATGGATTTCTTTTCTTTCTTCTCTTTACTATCAAAGAGCTTATAATCACATTTATCCCTATATTACTCCTATGAAGTAAAAGAATAATATAAATTGATTTCTGTATGTTTCAAAAGGACAAACTATCTTGATAAATATATACAATAAGTCAATAATAGATGAAGGAATATGGAATGCCTAGAATAGATAAATCTATAGAAAGAGAAAACGAGCCCTGGTAGCATAATGGGTTATGCTTTGGGCTCCTAACCGCAAGGCCAGCAGTTAGAGTCCACCAGGCGCTCCTTGGGAGAAAGAAGAGGCTTTCTGCTCCTATACAGATTTATAGCCTTGGAAACCTTCCTTATACAGGATCACTATGAGTCAGAATCAACTCCAAGGCATACCACCATCATAGAGATTGGAAGAAGGACTGGTGGGAGTGCTTGGGGGGACAGGGAGGCAAGTTCTAATGAGTATAGGGTGTATTTTTGGAGTGATTAAACTGTAAAGCTGATTGTAGTAATGGATGAACAGCTACACTGGATTGTACACTTAAAAGAGGGGAGCTAGCTGTATGGCATGTGACTTATATTTAAATAAAGTTGTAAGTCAAAGAATAGCAAATAGAGGATTAGAACTTTGGTAATATAATTCACATTATAATGCTTTGGTCTACTGAATTATGAAATTAATGACAATCAACAAATAAACAGCAAAAATGAGATCACATGACTATTCGTCATTTCGAGACCAGACACATGGAGCTTGTTGTTGTTTCTGTTGTTAAGTGCCATTGAGTCAGTTCTGACTTATAGCTACCCTGTATAGGGTTTCCAATGAGCAGCTGGTGAGTTTGAACTGCCAACATTACAATTCAAACCAACCTTGTAGTCCAGCACATTAACCCACAGCACCACACCAGGACTCCTGGAGCATTACAGAGAAATGGGTCAAAGTTTGGAAGACCTTTAATACTGTCCAGTCCACTTGTAAGCACATACTAAACCAAAACCAAACCCACTGCTGACTAGTTGACTCCAACTTATAGGAACCCTACAGGACAGAGTAGAACTGTCCCATAGGATTTCCAAGGATGCAAATCTTTATGGAAGCAGACTACCATACCTTTCTTCTGCACAGCAGCTGGTGGGTTTGAACTACTGTCCTTTGGGTTAGCCGCTGAGCACATAAACATGGGCCACCATATACTAGGAGAGCTGATCTTGTATTTCATGAAAGTTCCAGCTCAGAGGAGGATTTTCAGTCAGTAAAAGTTTGAGAAAACGAATAATAAATTACAGAAGCAAGAGATTTCATATAGGCTAAGGCTTTGAAAAGAAATCATGAGAGGAAGGTGAAAAGTAGACACAGACTGAAGATAAATGTTCCAGATACCAGGGAGTTAATAGGCTTGCACCTTAATACTGCCAAAAAGACATATAATTGCTTTATCTTTCCTTATGGTCAGCTGGAAGACAGAGTGATACCTGGAAAGAAACATGCAGTTGTGTAGTTTTCAATAAAAAAAAAAAAAAGATTGAAGTTGCTGAGTTTTAGCTCAGCACATCACAAGTTGCCAGAGGTAGAACTGGTTTTCTGCAATAGTTCATATCACTCAGTTAGACAGTGTGAAGGAATAATCTAAAATCTAAAATAATATCTTGAATAAAATTAAATAAGAAAAAAAAATTAAGCTGGGGCAAATAAGACAGGCAGAAGAAAATCAATAAAAGCATACCAAATAAAAGCAAGAAATATTATAGCTGCATGCTATGTTCAGGGGAGACAGGAAATTATTTCAAGTAACACTGGCAAGTAATATGAGACCAAGAGAGTAGGAGACTGTCACAGCCCTAGCTATGGCATTAAAAAAAAAAAAAAAAAAATTTAGGATCAGATATTTACCTTTCAGGCCACTAATTAGATAGCACTTTTAAAAGCCACGGACTCCATGCTACACTTATGATGGGACTTCCTGTTTCTAAGCAATATTACTTTTTGAAATAGGAAGTGAATGAGATGGCATGAGATAACTCATTGTGACATGCACAGTGGAGGGAAACAGAAAGAAGATGGTGTGATAATAATGATACATTTTAGACATTCCAAGATATAACATTTCTAAAATTCTTATTTCAGTATGTATTGAAAATCTCCATTTCCTGGGTAAAATAACTATCCACTTAGGATAATACTACCAGTGAGATTTGAACATATTTCTCACTTAATAAATTTCTCAGTGTTTTGAACAGTATTCTGGAGTCTAGAAGAATTAATGCACATATAAATAGTGAGTAAGTACCTCACTTTGTCACTAGCTGAACTGGGTCCATTAAGCCTGAAACATCTGATATTTCTTTGGATTCTGAAGCAGGGAAGGGCTTAGAGATCTTTGATGTTCTTAAAGGAGCCTGGAAGGTAGGGTTCTTGGAGGTATTAGTACAACTGCTTCATAATTCAGAGTATTATCTCAAGAGCTCTGGCTAACATCTTGAACGTGAAAAAGTAAGAAAGAGAGGAAATACTTTTAGAACTCTGTAGGAATTTCTTATATGCAAGGGAAAAGAAGTACTATACTTGAGATGAGAATTTTATCTTTCTTAACAAATAAACTTCAAGGAGTCTAAGCTGACTTTCATAAAGGCTTATGAAGCACAGCACTAGAAATTGCAGAAAGCAAAGAAAAAGAAAAAAAGTCCAAATAATGTTATTCCTTGGTACATGTTTGAAAACAAAATAGCTATGATGCTTGACAGCATAGAGTTTCATATCATTGTCAAACAATTAAAACATGGTAACAAAGTCATCACTCTGTGAAAATACAAGATTTTGCTTCAGAGAAGAATGTGCTTTAACGTATTAAAAGTTTATATTGCTTATAAAGTTCCTTCTTCCTCATTTAAGCAAGAAAATGAATTGAGTTATTTTCTCCAGGTGACTTTGCCTCTCTGACCTGCCATGGCCCAGTGCTCTCTTTACCTGGTGATTCATTTTCAATAACTCCAACAACAGTATTTGTTCTGACATTTTAATTAAAATATGACCACTACCTCAACCTGATGATAAAAGGCCTATGTGTCAGTGCAAACTAGCTTTTCAGTGCCTCGGTGCACCTCAAGACCTCTCCGAGCACACAGTTCTTACTGAAAAATTTCACTCAAGTTCTAAACAATATATCACTTCAAATGGGATCACTTTAACCATTAAGATTGATGTTTGAAAATCTAAAATGGCTAGAGGATGCTAAGTAATGCACATATAATTTCTTTCTCCTTGATATCGTTTTTGAAAAAAGAAAATTAAGTACATTTGTAAAATAAAAAGGATAGAAAATACAAATTTAGTACAGCATTTAGGACCACCATACAATGAAATTACAGGAGGAAAGAATTTCAGGAATAAAGAAGAAATTCAAGAGTTTTTATAAGACAGGCACAGATGTAATTAATGCCAATGGAGAAAACTATGACTCCGTATTAGGCTGAAGAATATTACCATGTACCATAATTTTGAGAACTAAATTTGGAACATTTAGATGAGAATTTTAAATGGAGAAAATACAAATAAGAAACAAATTTAATTGCAAACTAAGGTGAAGTATATATTCAGATTGGCAGATTTTATTCAGACAGCTCACAAAAAAACATAAAAATAGATGTCAGAAGAGACTCTGAAACTTGCTTTCCAGCAGAGAAATGATAAAGCAAATAAAAGAAATGAGGAGTTAAAAGATCTCAAAGGGCAGTTAGAGAAGACAAAGCATTAAGTATTACAACGAAATGTGCAAAGACCTGGAGTTAGAAAACCAAAAGGGAAAAACATTTCTCAAGTTGAAAGAACTGAAGAAAATTCAAGCCTCAAATTGAAATACTGAAAGATTCTATGGAAAAAATATAGAATGATGCAGAAAGCATCAAAAGATGGAAGGAATACACAGAGAGTCACTGTATCAGAAAGAAATGATTGATGTTCAACCATTTCAAGAGGTAGAATATGATCAAGAGCCAATGGTACTGAAGGAAAAAGTGTAAGCTGCAGTGAAGTAACTGGCAAAGAACAAAGCTTCAGGAATTGATGGACTATAAACTGAAATGTTTCAACAAACTGATGCAGCACTGAAAGCGCTCACTTGTCTACACCAAGAAATTTAAAAGACAGATACCTGGCCAGCTGGTTGGAAGAGACCCACATTTGTGCCCATTACAGACAGGTGACACAACAGAATGTGGAATCATTGGGCAATTTGATTAATATCAAATACAAGTAAATTTTTGCTAAAGGCTATTCAACAATGGCTGCAACAGTACATCAACAGGGAACTGCCAGTTGTTCAGGTCGCTTTAGACTAGGACATGGAACGAGGGACATCGTTTGCTGCCATCAGATGAATCTTGGCTGAAACAGCAGACTACAGCAGAGAATATAAAAAATATGTCTACCTGTGTTTTACTGACTATGCAAAGGTTTTTGACTGTGTAGATCATGAAAAGCTATGGAATACTGTAGAGACTGGGGTCTTCTGGAACACTTCATTGTACACATGAGGAACCTGTATATAGACCAAGAGACAGTCATTTGTACAGAACAAGGGGGAACTGAATGGCTTAAAATCAGGAAAAGTGTGTGTCAGAGTTGCATTCTTTCACCATACTTAATCAACTTGTACGATGAGCAAATAATGCAAGAACCTGGATTATATGAAGAAGAATGTGGCATCAGGATTGGAGGATGACTCATTAACAGCCTGCAATATGAAGATGGTAAAACCTTTTTTCCTGAAAGCGAAAAAGACTTAAAATAATTACTGATGAAGATCAAGATGACAGACTTTGGTATGGGTTGCACCTCAATGCAAAGAAGAAGAAGAAAAAAATCCTTACCACTAGAGCAATAAATAACATCATGATAAATGGAGAAATGATGGCTGTTATCAAAGGCTTTGTTTTGCTTGAATCAACTATCAATACTAATGGATGCAGCAGTCATGAAATCAAACTATGCATTATTGCGTTAGGCAAATCTGCTGCACAAGAAGTCTTTAAAGTGTTCAAAAGCAAAGAGGTCAGTTTGAGGTCTAAGGTGCACTGATTCCAAACAAACCATGGTAATTTCAATAATCTTATATGCATGTGGAAGTTGGACAGTGAATAAGGAAGAACATAGAGGAATTGATGCATTTCAATTACAGTATTATAGAAGAATACTGAATGCATCATGGATTGCTGGAGGAACAAACAAATCTATGTTGGTAGAGGTAGAGCTAGAATGCTTCTTAGAAGCCAAAATGGCCAAACTTCATCTCTCATACTTTGGACATGTTATCAGGAGGGACCAGTTCCCGGAGAAGGGCATCCTGCTTGGTAAAGTGGCGTGTCAGTGAAAAAGAGGAAGACCCCCAAAGAGATGGATTGGCACAGGACCGGGTAGTGTATTGTTCTGTTGTGTATCAGGGCGCTATGAGTTGGAATCGACTTGATGACACCTAACAATAATAGTACCTGCTATACATTAAAAGGCAACTATATTAAGAAGGATTCCTGAATTTCGTTAACATTTTAATCTCACAGTTAAATCAGTATTTTTTAAACAAAGATGAACTTTTTTTGATAAATTGGTATATGACGAGTGTACAACAGTTGAAAAACATAGAAAAGTATAAAGAAAAGCTAAAGATCACCCATAATCCTGCCAGACTTAATTGAGAGATTTTCTGTATTTTATTTCTGTGTGTGTAAATATATATGCATATAAGTGTATAATTTTGCACTGTAATTGAATATGTATACATTTTTGTGTATTTGGAGTCCTGGTGGTATAAGATAAGCATGAGATCAGTGATTCAATCCCATGAGCTGCTGCTACTTGGAAACGCTACACAGGTTCTCTATGAGTTGGAGTTGACTTAACAGTACCTGACAACATTTATATATTTATATGAATACATATTTATATATGTACATATACACACACATATATGTAGTTTTCCTTTAATAGTATGTTATTGCTGTTAAGTAATGTCAAGTCAATGCCAAGCCATTATTAACTAGTGTATAGGGTTTCCGAGGAGCTGCTGGTTGAGTTTGAACCTTCGACCTTGAAGTTCAGTGCATTATTCCACAGCACCACACCAGCACAGAGTGACTATTTTCCTATGTTTAAGGAGGAAACTATGCTCAATAGTCCTGGTAAAATATGTGATCAATGTCATTGGTTATAACACATTTTAGTACATGTTGCAGAAACCTTCATTAAATATGAAAGAGGAGTATAAAGGTTATATTACCTTTCCCATCATGAATCATCATGGTTTTCCTTACCTATCTCCTTTTTGGTATATGGAGCAAACAATTTCTGCACAACTGGTTCTAAATCTTCTCTTGCTGTTTTAGAAGATGTACAAGTCATATGAACCAAATCTGTTAAAAAAAAATAAATAATATTTTTAGTTTCTATTTATCACTTATTTATTTATCTACATTCAGGTCACTGAGCTGGTGGCTATGGGTAACAGAGAGCTTAGTAAGTTAATGGTTCCTATCTTCAAGGAGTATATGATCTCGTGATAAAGAGACATGTAAAGAATAAAACATTAGGCTAACTAAAACCCCAGAAAAAGTAGCATTTGGTGTTAAATTTTTAAAAAAACTTACATAGTATAGAGAGTTTAATCTATTCATAAAGAGGGTAGACAAGAGATTGCTAAACAAAAGAAAATAGTTGTTTAACAACACTGAAAATGGAGCATTTATTTACCTAAGAGAGCACACACCTCATATACTTCAGACAGAGGAATGCATTTATATATACATTATTGACAAGTTAACAAACAGTCTAGTCTTCATAGGATTCTCTAAAAATTTTGGGGGGAACACTACTGGCTTAGTTTGATACAAGAGCTCCCAAAGTGGCACAGATTTTAATAGTCTATATATTTTTCAGGAACGCTAAATCTTTCTCCTTTTTTTTTTTTTTTTTTCAATCAATTCAATTTAATGAGCCTTTAATCTCATTTGTACTTACAAATTCATGGGATCTGGATCTTGGAAACTGTTTGGGTTAAAGAATATCATGTGTAAAAAGTATCCTTCATAGACATGAGATAACTGTAGTCAAAAGATAGGGTTCCTAAATAGGAGGAATGCTTATGGTTCTGGAAAGGATTTTAATGGGATACAATAATCTCAAATTAGAGAATACCAAGTGCTGAGAAATTCCTTCTCTCTGCTACACCAGTAAAATGTATTTAAAAAAATGGAGGGGGGGGGATTTTTCCAATTATATCTGAAAGCAGTGTATACTAAAGTGAGAATAAGATTCTTGTTACCAAATAATCATTCCACATGCCATTTCCTTAAACATACTTTGAGGGACTATTTCAGCAGAAATCAGAGAATATACTTCCCTCCCAACTCTCCCCCACCAGCCCACCAAAGAGAGCGATGTTCTACATAGGCCCTTTATCTTAGTTATGGCCTAGTAAAATATCTACCTTATTTAAGAATTGTTTTTCATGAATTTAACTATGATTCTCATTGGTTCTGGGACACTGTAGGATATATTTCAAAAGATATAAAAAACTACACGACAAAATGATTCCTATTTAACTTAAAATTTTCAAATGTCATATAACTGTGGTGAGGAAGTATCCTAAGCTTCCTAGAGAATGGCCAATTTTTTTATATTTGTATGCAATTACAAAGCTCAGAAATCTTGATATATTTAATAGCTAAAATACTGATGATAAAGAGGATTTATAAAAGAAATAGAATGGAGCAATTTCATCCTAATTTTTCTTAACAACTTAACAATTCAGTTCAGAGAATGCAAGCAAAAATTTCTATAGTAAAGTAAAATTAAATCCTGTACTTACTAAGTTTTGTAACTCATCATAGAAGACAAATTGCCCTGAATTCTATTAAGCACTTGACTAAACCTGAAAGGTTGGCAGTTCAAAGCCACCCAGAAATACGACGACCTGTGATCACTTTCTGAAAGGTCTTATCCTTGAAAGTCCTATGAACCAATTCTACTCTGCACACATGGGGTCACCATGAATCGAGAATTGCTCAACAGCTACAAAATTGGCGGATTAAATTTCTCTTGGGGCTAAACTGTTACTTAGTTTAAAGTTATATTCAGGGGATAGTTTAGATTTAAGGGTTTAAGAACAACTTGGGGCCACAGTCTTAGGCACTCCTTCAGACAAAATAAGTTCACTAAGTCTTTATTCTTCAAGAATCTGATATTCTGTTTCACATTCTTCTCCTTTTTCTTTTGTTGTTGTAAATATACTTATTCCTCAAATCGCCAATTTAACATTTCAGACATGTACAGCTTATTGACAACAATAAGCTATATTTTACCTATAATAAATGAGATTTTTCCATCACTGTAAATAGAAACTCAATACTCTATAACCAATTTTCCCCACTTCGACTCTATTGCCTCGGGTAACAGGTAGTAAACTTTGGCCTCTACACAGTTGCCTGTTTTGTCTTTTAAGACAAGTGAGTTCAAACAATATTCACCCTTTTATGATTGACTTATTTGGAGTCCTGGTGTGGCACTATGGGTTAATGCGCCAGATGCAAAGCACTTTGAACAGCAAGGTCGGCGGTTTACGCTCACCAGCTGTTCCTTGGAAACCCTATACAGGGTCACTATGGGTCAGAATCGACTCGATGGCACTTAACAACAACAACAACAACAAAATGCTTGACTTATTTAACTCAATGTTAAAAAATTCAATACATGTTGTGGTATGTATCAAGATTTCATTCATCTTTCTCAATAAGTGGTATTATATGTATGTGTACAACATGTTGTTTATCCAGTCACTGACAAACATTTAAGCTGTTTCCACAATTTGGCTATTGTGAATAATGCTGAAATGAACAGTGATGTCCATAAGCATCAGTGTTGCTTATGGGCATCAGTGTTGCCTACATAAGCAGGCAGAACAGCTTCAAATGCATCTAAAGAATCTTTTTTTTAAAGTTCTTTTTTAAGGTTTTTATTGTGGATTGAGTGAAAGTTTACAGGGCATATCATCAGTTTTATATTCAACAAATCATATACCTCGTTTCATTACAATGGTTATAATCCCCTCCATGTACCATCAGTTAACAATATTTTTCTCTATCCACTTTAGCCTTTTTAAAAACACACAAACAAACAAACAAAAAAAACACTCAGGCATATATAATAATTTACATCTCCAAAGGTCACATTCTGCAAGTCTGCTCCTGGTCACCAGCTCTTAGTCCTTCTCTTCTTAGTCCATGAATCAATCTAGAGTCCTCAGTCACTCCCCCTCTCCATGCCCTCATCTCTGGCGCTGCTTCTCTGGATAAGGTCCCACATTCTGCTTGTGTGTTCCTCTCTTGATGGTCCTAGGGTCCTCTGTTTCTGGACTGTAAGATTAACCACTCCCCTTTTTTTGTTACAAAACTTCTACCTTTACAATT